GTTTACAAAGGGTAATACTCATCACCTCACTGTCAGCCTCATACACGCCCCTCACAAGAGACTACATCCTCCTCCTCCTTCCTTCTCTCTCCCTCGCCTCAAACATCCATAACATTATTATATAAAACATTTGATGATCCATAACATTAAATGCTCACCCGTTAGACAAGGTATAAATACACTCATTCCCAACAATATTGCACATTTATTTTTACCGCTTAGCGGTACTACTCATACCTTCCTAACTCTTATCAAGCTTCCTCTTTTTATCTCTTCCTCTGCCCTTCCTTTTCTGCCTTGTCCCTTTCTCCGTTTCCTCTTCCCTCCCTGTCCCTCTTTCCTCTTCATCTATACAATTTATATTCTTCACTTTCCCCCATTTCTCTCCGCCCTCTCCCTTCCCTCATCTCCCTCTCCCTCCCTCCCACATTTGACATGATCGCCAGGAAACGAGCCTCGGGCGTCAGCGACACACACATTCCACGTCGCTTCCACAGTGTCATTTTTCGTGTGGACATCCTCGTCCAAATGATCACGGCGGAGAATTCATTAATCAGCGGCACACAATCTCTCACATCCATCCTCTGCCTACGTCGGCGGGCCCCCACACATTACTGAAGCCAGTGCATCCTACGTCAAGACTAAAATAGATTTATAACTGTAGAGTCTGTGAAATAAAATGAGAACCGAACTCGCGCTCAAAAACCAATGCAACACTGTGAAGTCTCTGTCATCCTTCAGCAGTTCGCCCTAAAAAGACCCAAAGTCCATTCCTTGCACCCGCCAAACACCTGTTTATGAATGAAAACCGGTTTACACACGACTCATAACTGGTGACATCCGAATACTTCCGGAACAAGTGCTTCACTGACGACTTTTGTTCGAACCACAACGCTGTAAATGCTTCACTCACGTGCTACAAATACAAATAATGAACAACAGAACCTGAACACCTAACCTAACCAATGCCTAAATATGCACAATATGCTAATAGATAATAATATTAATTTATATTTGAGAAAAGTTCTGCTCTGAATGAACATAATGTTAAAATTGATGAATGCGTCTTTAAGGTCGACCGCTGTTCATCGTTCAGTGAGGCCGCCGGTTACTGAAGAACACAAGAACACGTTGAACAAAAAACAAAGAGTTCAAAGAAGCGCGACCAAACCCATACCAAGTGTCAGGAATAAACGAAACATTTACAAAATTACAAAACTTATAGAAACGTCGACATCAGAGGGCAGACATCTGATGCCGCTTCGCAATCTTTCAAAACAAATTCGAACCGAAAAGCAACACCGTTGCAAGAATTAAAAATATAAAAATGATCGCGACATGAAACTCAGGATTTTGGAAGACAGGAAAAATAGCGAACACAAACACAAAAATACTGGAAACCACTTGCAGTTAATTATCTTAATTAGGCCGTAGATGGAGAGAAAAATCCCACAAAACCTGGTTATGGCCCATTAACCCGCCTGTTATCTTGGACTCTATATTAGTTAGTCCTGTGTAAACCTGAGCTGTTTCAACACACTCTTACAGGAACACAAACTGTGATCTCTTCTCTACCTCACTGTTATGTACCCACCCACTACACACCACCCACTACACCCGCACTACACACCACCCACGACACACCACCCACTACCCCCACACTACACACCACCCACGACACACCACCCACTACACCCGCACTACACACCACCCACTACCCCCACACTACACACCACCCACTACACCCGCACTACACACCACCCACTACCCCCACACTACACACCACCCACTACACCCGCACTACACACCACCCACGACACACCACCCACTACCCCCACACTACACACCACCCACTACACCCGCACTACACACCACCCACTACCCCTCCTCCTCTCAGCTCCCGGTGTATCGTAACTTGTCACATTTGAGCAAGTTCTCCCGCGAGCCAAATGTAATCTTCCAATCGCCTTGTCTCTCAAGTTGGTGCTTCAGGTCTGGTCGTCTCACTTCAGCCATCCACTGTGAACTACATGAACTGCTAATGCTTTCAGAAATACATTAGGCTAAAATGTTCATATAAAATACGGAATTAAAAGAATGAAAAACTTAAGACTATTGAGGTGAAGTTCTCCTGTAGGTAACCCAATCATTTTCTGGCCAGAGCCAACGGTGCTTAACCAACTGAATTTTAAGCAAGCACATCGCCCATTGCACCACGCCATCAGCAGGCAACTCCATAATACAAACATTCACAGCTGATAGTATTGACAAGCAAGGAAGTGTTCCAACACATACAAGTAAAACATGGCGCCTCGGTGACAACCCCACAAAACATTATAGTCAACATATATAAACCGATAACATCCACCATCAACAACACCTGCCACAAAACAATGGCAACACAACAGCCTCGATAAATTACCCCTATGCATCACCTTCACGCCAACTCCCCCACCCGCTCTCCCCAACTAAACCCCCCGCTTTCCACCCACCCCAATAATCCCCATCTGGACCACTTTACGACGCCCACTAAACAAAAACCCGCCCACCCAATACCGAAAGGCGGAGGAGGAAAATGTATGCGACTTTTATAATACCTTTACTGCCCGCCACGACCCCCAAGAGGCCCATTTTTGACAGCAGTTTGAGAGTTGGTCAAAGAATCGGCTCCACGCGCCCCGCCCAGCCCCGCTGTACGCTTTTTCTCTCCATTACCCGGGATGGGCCTGCCACTGCGCCACCCTCTGACTATTGCTGCACGACGGATCTTTGAAGACCTATACTTGCAGATGCTACTACTGGACGACTGCCTGAAGGCTACTACTGGATGACTGCCTGAAGGCTACTACTGGACGACTGCCTGAAGGCTACTACTGGACGACTGCCTGAAGGCTACTACTGGACGACTGCATGAAGGCTACTACTGGACGACTGCCTGAAGGCTACTACTGGACGACTGCCGCTTAAGGGCCAATGTTGGAAGACTACCTAGTGAGCTGCCTCTGGACAATTACTGTCTAGGCTGTTAGCATCTGTTTAAGAGTATGGTTCTAAAACCATGTCATGATACAAATAAATGTCACGAGAACGTTTGAGGATCGTGGGAAGGTCAAGATAGAAAATGTAAGTGACCCATTCATGAAATATACCAATTGCATAATGAAACAATGAATAAGGATACATAAAATACTGTATTGGCAAAACTAGAGTAGGTGCGTGTGTCGGAGCTCGGCGCCATCTATGATCCAGGTGCCGAACTATAACAGTTGACCTTCCCATTACTCTTAGTTTCCCATCTTCTAGTCTGCTGTGCTGGGAGGTGACCAGCTACCAGGAACACGCGACGAAAGTCAGTGAAGCCGGGAGAATGGAAGAGTACTTTGGCCGATCTGGAGACGCTAGCGAGTGCGCTAAGGGAGGAGGCCTAGCTTGAAGACGTCTCCATAACTACAGCTAGCATAAGGGCTAGTAGAGCGTTGAAGCTCTCGTCTGAAGAATATAGTGTCCATCTTTGAAGCTAGCTAACCAGAGGACTAGCAATGCTCTGGATCACTTATCATAGAAATTTGTAAATAAGAACGGTTAAATTTTAAGTGTTATTTAATTTCATATCCTTAAACATTACATTTCCACTAAAATTAGGGACCTCTGAGCTTGCGTAGAATCTTGGTTTTAAAAGAACCCGATTACGGAAAGGTTCGTAACAGTGTTAATAAAATGCCCATATACACATGACACAACGTCGGTCACGTCTGAATAACTGTCGGTGACTGATTCAGTCAGTGGCAAGTCCTAACTATCTTAGTTCAGTAACTGTCCAAGGACTCTGTGGTGAACTGGAGATTATCTTTATCAAAAACAACTTAAATATTTACTTGTATTTTAATATAATAATTTCCGTTCATGTTAAACCCTCTTGCTAGTTGTATAGTAATCAAAAGGGCAAACTTGAACTTACTTGAACGAAATTAAACCACTATAAACCCTGGTGAAAATATTCCCTTACTCAATACAAAAGTGTCACTCTGTAGGGGATGGGGTGGGGGAGAAGGGTTGAGGAAGAAGGATAAAAGTTAACTGACAGTTGAGAGGCGGGCCGAAGGAGCACAGATCAACCCCCGCATGCACAACTAGGTGAGCACACACACACACACACACACACACACACAACATTGAGCTGTGTGATTGAGCATCACACAGCGATGAGATTGAGCACCGTGGATCAGTGTCCGGGTGGTGTATCAAAGAGCACAAGAGCGCGGCAACATTAGAGCAGCAGCAGCAGCAGGTGGCGGAGTGAGCCGGAGCAGAGCGTGCCCCCCAGCAGTCCTCTACAGCACACACACAATCATCCACTGCAGAGTTTAAAGGGAAGGTGATCGGCGCGGCGGGAGTCGTCTGATAATCCTCTTAGTCAAATGTCAAGGTTATCACATGCCGCCGCCGCCTCACTGCGTGTGGCAATTGGCTTCTTTTTAGCATTTTTCTCTACTCTTTCAATGTTTGGATACATGATACTAAACTTGTAGTGTTAGAGGCGGCAAGAAGTGGGCTTTTTACGGCCGTGGTAACACGATTTACACACACACTTGTTTTGCTTGGAAACATGTCAAGTGACATCATTATTTTTGTATTTATATATTTACATAGTTTTATTGTAAATTATATATTTTACTGTGGGATTTACGACCTTGTAACCGAGTAGACTCCAGCAGCGGGCGGGCGGGCGTAGGCACCACGCGTGGGCGGGAGAAGGCTCCAGCAGTGGGCGGGAGGGCTTAGGCTCCAGCAGTGGGCGGGAGGGCTTAGGCTCCAGCAGTGGGCGGGAGGGCTTAGGCTCCATCAGCGGGCGGGAGGGCTTAGGCTCCAGCAGCGGGCGGGAGGGCTTAGGCTCCATCAGCGGGCGGGAGAAGGCTCCAGCAGTGGGCGGGAGGGCTTAGGCTCCAGCAGTGGGCGGGAGGGCTTAGGCTCCAGCAGTGGGCGGGAGGGCTTAGGCTCCATCAGCGGGCGGGAGAAGGCTCCAGCAGTGGGCGGGAGGGCTTAGGCTCCAGCAGTGGGCGGGAGGGCTTAGGCTCCATCAGCGGGCGGGAGGGCTTAGGCTCCAGCAGCGGGCGGGAGGGCTTAGGCTCCAGCAGCGGGCGGGAGGGCTTAGGCTCCATCAGCGGGCGGGAGGGCTTAGGCTCCAGCAGCGGGCGGGAGGGCTTAGGCTCCATCAGCGGGCGGGAGGGCTTATGCTCCAGCAGCGGGCGGGAGGGCTTAGGCTCCATCAGCGGGCGGGAGGGCTTAGGCTCCAGCAGCGGGCGGGAGGGCTTAGGCTCCAGCAGCGGGCGGGAGGGCTTAGGCTCCATCAGCGGGCGGGAGGGCTTAGGCTCCATCAGCGGGCGGGAGGGCTTAGGCTCCAGCAGCGGGCGGGAGGGCTTAGGCTCCAGCAGCGGGCGGGAGGGCTTAGGCTCCAGCAGCGGGCGGGAGGGCTTAGGCTCCAGCAGCGGGCGAACGTAGGCACCACGCGTGGGCGGGCGGGCGTAGGCACCACGCGTGGGCGGGCGGGCCTAGGCTCCACGGGTGGCAATAGGGTTGTAAAAGCGTGTAAGACGTCCACGGGTCTACAAAGATTTTTTGTTAAGCTCGAGGCGTCACCTTTATTCTGTGTAATCATCTTTCAGTTTGAGTGTTCTTAACGAACAAACCTGAGCCCAATATAGCGTGGCTTTTATGCACATAAGTAAGCTAAAAGCCATTCACCGTCTTTAAGCAAAGAAGAAAACACTGTTACAGATTCGTCGTAAGCTACTCGCATTTCTCTGGAACCCTTCCCCGCACTCCACAAGAACCCATCACCCCCTCTCACCCCAACCCCCCCCCCAACCTCGCCCCCTTCCCAGCATTTACTGGTCACCTCCTACAAACTAATCCATTTTTTGTCACGAAAAGTTTAATTGAAATTGAAATCTGCTGCTTCGGGTAACAGAGAACTGAAGTCACACGATATTAATTACTCCAACGTGTCTTCTGCCTTCAACCTGAGGGTGGTAGTTAGGGAATTCGTCCCTAACTACCACCCTCCCTTTCTCCTTTAGTGAAACACAATATTTATCTAAATTAATCATAAGTTTCAATGTTTGTAACTACGTCAGGAGACGGTGTCCGATGCGCACTACTGCGTATCAATAAGGCTTTTTCTCCAAGTTTGGACGAGGGAGCCTGATGCTGTAAAATACTTCATCTGTTTTTTTAAGGCCTTTGGAATAGCCACAATGGGTTGCTGAGTAGCCTTATAGGTCTGTATTAGGATGTAAATAGTAGTCATTGTTTAAAAGAAAGGGGCTGTAGAGTATATTGCCTTTTACTGCTATAGATTCTACCGTATTTAACGCGCCTTAACAAAATTATCACACATTTTATACTTCAAACGGGAATTTAACCTGTTTATTGTAGCTAGAACAGGATCTACATCTTAAGTTAAGAGGTTAAGAGGCGAGACCAAAAAGCTAAAGCTCAACCCCCGCAAACACAAACAGGTGAGTACACACACACACACACACACCACACACACACACACACACACACACACCAGTACACACAAACACCAGTACACACACACACACACCAGTACACACACACACACACACACACACACACCAGTACACACACCAGTACACAGTGTGTATACACCAATATACACACTGGACCAAAGAGCCAGAGCTCAACCCCCGCAAGCACAATTAGGTGAGTACACACACACACACCAGTACACACACACACACACACACACACACCAGTACACACACACACACACACACACACACACACACTACACACACACACACACCAGCTTGAGGAGCGTGAGCCAGGTAAAGCATGTAAGCGCTAGTGAGCCGTCGACGACACTGGGCAGGGGAAGTGACCCATTATCCACACAGCTCATCCACCCATTGACAACTCCTCCCCCTTTTTGTTCCAGATTACCCGCGGACACTTCACCGCTCGCATGCAAAGCACTTAGCGCTAATTTCGTGGTCATTACTGCTAGTTATGTCGACAAGAAAGGACAGGATACATGGGCTTCAGTCCTCACTAACAATGCACTCGCGCCAGCGAATAAAAAAACGCGCGAACGTACACGTTCAGGTACGCACCATCAGGTTATCTTGAGGTTATCTTGAGTTGATTTCGGGGCTTTAGTGTCCCCGCGGCCCGGTCCTCGACCAGGCCTCCACCCCCAGGAAGCAGCCCGTGACAGCTGACTAACACCCAGGTACCTATTTTACTGCTAGGTAACAGGGGCATAGGGTGAAAGAAACTCTGCCCATTGTTTCTCGCCGGCGCCTGGGATCGAACCCAGGACCACAGGCTCACAAGTCCAGTGTGCTGTCCGCTCGGCCGACCGTCAATCAGGCTGGAAGTTGAGGCACAGGCTATAAGGTGTGAATGATAGATGAAATTGTTTATGTAATAATCTAAGATGAGGTCTGATAAAGACTTTTTGTGCCCTCTGTAATGCTTTTTGCGCTACCGCTCAAAGGATGAGTATGGGGTGCACAATAACCTAGCCGCCTCCAGCAGCAACAAACAACAAGCTATGACAACAGGTCAGAGGAACAAGCTCTCTCATCAGTGGACACACAAGATACGGGAGACATGCTCACCACCTACAAAATACATGACTGGAGAAGGTAGACAGGAACACACACTTGTATTAAGTACCAAAATGAACAACGGGGATATCGGAAATCACTTTCGTCATAAACTTTAAAATTAGTTGAGGAACACTGCATATTCCATAAGTAATTATGACAGTAATCCAAAAGATTGGGAAAGAAGCAGGACTTAAGTCGAGGCTCAACTAGGTGAGTACACACAGCATCATTGTATAAAATTTGCTCATTAGGATTTCTATGTTTTTCTATTTTAATCACTTTTTAATAATATTTTCCATTTTTGTTATATATCCCTTGCGTCCGCTGAATAGTTATATACAGCAACTACAGCTGCTGTTTATAATGAAACTAGAACAAAAACAAAAATATAAATTACGTAAGCCATTGTGTCGTGCATGTTCCAGCAACAACAGGATACTGGAACGAGATAATTAAGAGACGTCACAGGGCGCGGCTCCTGGGACATGGACAGACCAGTGAGGCACGCTACTGAGGAAGGTTCCTGGGACATGGACAGACCAGTGAGGCACGCTACTGAGGAAGATTCCTGGGACATGGACAGACCAGTGAGGCACGTTACTGAGGAAGGTTCCTGGGACATGGACAGACCTGTGAGGCACGCTACTGAGGAAGGTTCCTGGGACATGGAGAGACCAGTGAGGCACGCTACTGAGGAAGGTTCCTGGGACATGGACAGACCAGTGAGGCACGCTACTGAGGAAGGTTCCTGGGACATGGACAGACCAGTGAGGCACGCTACTGAGGAAGGTTCCTGGGACATGGACAGACCAGTGAGGCACGTTACTGAGGAAGGTTCCTGGGACATGGACAGACCTGTGAGGCACGCTACTGAGGAAGGTTCCTGGGACATGGAGAGACCAGTGAGGCACGCTACTGAGGAAGGTTCCTGGGACATGGACAGACCAGTGAGGCACGCTACTGAGGAAGGTTCCTGGGACATGGACAGACCAGTGAGGCACGCTACTGAGGAAGGTTCCTGGGACATGGACAGACCTGTGAGGCACGCTACTGAGGAAGGTTCCTGGGACATGGACAGACCTGTGAGGCACGCTACTGAGGAAGGTTCCTGGGACATGGACAGACCTGTGAGGCACGTTACTGAGGAAGGTTCCTGGGACATGGAGAGACCTGTGAGGCACGCTACTGAGGAAGGTTCCTGGGACATGGAGAGACCTGTGAGGCACGCTACTGAGGAAGGTTCCTGGGACATGGACAGACCAGTGAGGCACGCTACTGAGGAAGGTTCCTGGGACATGGACAGACCTGTGAGGCACGCTACTGAGGAAGGTTCCTGGGACATGGACAGACCTGTGAGGCACGCTACTGAGGAAGGTTCCTGGGACATGGACAGACCAGTGAGGCACGCTACTGAGGAAGGTTCCTGGGACATGGACAGACCAGTGAGGCACGCTACTGAGGAAGGTTCCTGGGACATGGACAGACCAGTGAGGCACGCTACTGAGGAAGGTTCCTGCGACAAGGACAGACCAGTGAGGCATGTTACTGAGGAAGGTTCCTGGGACATGGACAGACCTGTGAGGCACGCTACTGAGGAAGGTTCCTGGGACATGGACAGACCAGTGAGGCACGCTACTGAGGAAGGTTCCTGGGACATGGACAGACCAGTGAGGCACGCTACTGAGGAAGGTTCCTGGGACATGGACAGACCTGTGAGGCACGCTACTGAGGAAGGTTCCTGGGACATGGACAGACCTGTGAGGCACGTTACTGAGGAAGGTTCCTGGGACATGGACAGACCTGTGAGGCACGCTACTGAGGAAGGTTCCTGGGACATGGACAGACCAGTGAGGCACGCTACTGAGGAAGGTTCCTGGGACATGGACAGACCTGTGAGGCACGCTACTGAGGAAGGTTCCTGGGACATGGACAGACCAGTGAGGCACGCTACTGAGGAAGGTTCCTGGGACATGGACAGACCTGTGAGGCACGCTACTGAGGAAGGTTCCTGCCACAAGGACAGACCAGTGAGGCACGCTGCTGAGGAAGGTTCCTGCGACAAGGACAGACCAGTGAGGCACGTTACTGAGGAAGGTTCCTGGGACATGGACAGACCTGTGAGGCACGCTACTGAGGAAGGTTCCTGCGCTTACAGGTAGCTGAGAGGGTGGGCCTGAGGTTGCTACAGGTCGGCAAGGAGCAAGTCATTAGTGAAATCTATTACTAAATAACTAGTGGTCATTATTACTAGTCCTGTCATCACTACTATTGCTGTCATATATTGACCATCTCTCCAGGCACACCTTCCCTTCTTCAAACTTCAGAATTTGGCAGATAAGTGTGTGTACTCACCTAGTTGTACTCACCTAGTTGTGTTTGCGGGGGTTGAGCTCTGGCTCTTTGGTCCCGCCTCTCAACCGTCAATCAACAGGTGTACAGATTCCTGAGCCTATCGGGCTCTGTCATATCTACATTTGAAACTGTGTATGGAGTCAGCCTCCACCACATCACCCCTAATGCATTCCATTTGTCAACCACTCTGACACTAAAAAAGTTCTTTCTAATATCTGTGTGTGTGTGTGTGTGTGTGTGTGTGTGTGTGTGTGTGTGTGTGTGTGTGTGTGTGTGTGTGTGTGTGTGTGTGTGTGTGTGTGTATTTTACCTCTCTTTGTATTGCTTATTTGTGTCTGCAGGAACGAAGTGTTAGCTCTTGGACCTCGCCAATCTAACCGTTGGATGCCTAATTTGTACAGACTCCCGATGTATTTTCTCCATATCTATATTTCTCTCTCTCAGACACACCACACACAAAGATGCATCTACGACAGTTAACTCCCGGGTACCTATTTACTGCTAGGTGAAGAGAGGCATCAGGTAATGAAGTGCCTAATTGTTTCTCTTTCCCGTCGGGAATCGAACCTGGGTCAGTGGATTGTGAATCATGGACGCTGATCACTCTGAAGCGTGTGCAGCATCACCTCTTGCACTATTTTAATATGTAATACGTGTAGCCGGCCAAGTTCTCCATGGATGGATACTCCATGGAGCCTAGGGGAGTCAGTCGGCCGAGCGGACAGCACGCTGGACTTGTGATCCTGTGGTCCTGGGTTCGATCCCAGGCGCTGGCGAGAAACAATGGGCAGAGTTTCTTTCACCCTATGCCCCTGTTACCTAGCAGTAAAATAGGTACCTGGGTGTTAGTCAGCTGTCACGGGATGCTTCCTGGGGGTGGAGGCCTGGTCGAGGACCGGGCCGCGGGGACACTAAAGCCCCGAAATCATCTCAAGATAACCTCAAGATGGAGAAGTGGGCAAACAACAAAAAATATTAATCCAGCAAAAATATAGTGTTGCTGGAATAGTGTTACACCTGTGTTAAAGTGTGTTCTTGTGAATGTGTGTGTGTGATGATGCCCCGTCACCACCACACAACATCCCAATCCTCGCTGCCATAATACCTCATACCTGAAATAAAATCAAATACAGCCTTACCAACGCTTAGTTTACTTCCTACATGCGTGGGCGGTACTCAAGATGTCCCGGGGAGGGGGCAACTGTTTACTCTCGGTAGTTGGTAAGGATATTGGTACCTCACAGCGTTACTCGCCGCTCGTTGGCAAGCAATGCTGCCTTTGAATGAGTGATTTACAAGTTACGCTAACATGACAAATACTTGTAGCACACTTGACTCGTTACGCGTCACAGAGCCTAAGTACCTCATTGTTTACTATTGCTGGCTCGTATAATGAACCAAATAATAACATCGCCGTTCGTATAATGAACCAAATAATAACATCGCCGCTCGTATAATGAACCAAATAATAACATCGCCGTTCGTATAATGAACCAAATAATAACATCGCCGTTCGTATAATGAACCAAATAATAACATCGCCGCTCGTATAATGAACCAAATAATAACATCGCCGTTCGTATAATGAACCAAATAATAACATCGCCGTTCGTATAATGAACCAAATAATAACATCGCCGTTTACGCTACAATACAGAACGAGCAGCACCATGTACCTAGTTCTATATTTACGAGTAACTTGTCTAACTAAGTTGCTTGTCTGTTATTAGTTGCTAAGACTTCATATAAGTCTTAGCAACTAATAACCACATGATAATGATCCTAATAATAACCAGCCATTCATAACTACATTTGTTACAACAGGATATCACTGCTAACAAACCATGTCGGGGCGATATCACGCCAAGACAACAGATGTCGCCACGTTCTGGGTGGGAGAGTGGCTCCAGAACCTCAGCACCCACGAGGATGTTCCTCACTACAGCTGTGATGGATGACATCCTCAGGCAGGTTAATGGCCACGCTAAACTCCTAATGGTAAAACACTTTACTAAAGGTCCTTGCTAGACATCGCTACCCTAGCAATTATTTGCATGATTATTTTGCAATTCGTCTGAAGGATTCATCTGAAGGCTTCACGAGCTTGTGTTATGCCTAACATTAAAGGCAAATATTACTGTTCAGTCTAACTGTCCCAAACACATGGGTTACAATCTTTTCAAGGGATCTTAATTCCTGATTCTTGGTTCCTTCAACATTAGCGTTGATTCCGTACACACTGACCGATTCATTTCCAATAATTTTACTGGATAACCGAGCATCAATTTGTTACTTATATTCTTAACGGCATGATTTCTGTATGCACTGTACGCAATAACTAAACTCTTATTGGTAACACGCTCGTGCTATTAATGGTGAGCGTCCAATATTTTATGTTAGGCACTTTCAAAGGAACGGAAAAGACCTAACTAGACTAGCCTATTATCACAAATTCTCAAAGCACTTTAGAAAATCTAAGGAACACTTTTCATAAAAAAATCTAATAATTTGCACACAGTAACTATTAGTTAATTTAGGTAACTATTTATTTAAGCAGTGAAGTTCAGTGCGTTCTTTTCTGATGTATAGATATTTTACCAGGACTCTAAGATACTAAATTTGCTTCCGACCTCAATACAGCTTTACAATAAATTTATAATTAATTCAACCTGTGAAAGAATTTAGAAAAAGGGATAGAATTCTCATACCAACAAATGAATAGGTTGACCCCGTAGCCTATCCTGGCAGATCGCCAAATCTGCTCTGTGAAAGGACACATCATCTCTGTTTACCGAAACCTCATAAAAATATAACACTGGAAATGAGACCTACTGAAATCCTCATACATTACAAATTATATTAAAAACTATACACTGGTATATTTTGGTTATGAAAGTAAATTTCATAAGTAGCTGCAGTGAAGGCAAAGAAATATTTTTGGCTAATGGACCACCAGAAAGAAAGTACCAGTATGTAGTGATGAACCGCCAGAAAGAAAGTACCAGTATGTAGTGATGAACCGCCAGGAAGAAAGTACCAGTATGTAGTGATGAA